TGGGCCCCAGGGTCGTGGCGGTGCCAGGACCGGGACACGCGGTTGGCACGGAGACCTTTGTTGTTCTGGCAGTCTAGTGAGCTGAGCCGTAAATGGAACCCCCGTGTCGCCCCCGAGTGCAGAGCCCTCAGGCCCAGAGGAAGGTAGCAGTTCGGTGACAGGTTTACCCCTGCTGGCAAGGAGGGGGGCGCTGGCATTTGCCCAGCTGAGGCTGTGTCTTACGGACGCCGGAGGCCTGTCCCCGGCCACCCGCGCAGGGGTCCTCAGCTTCTGGTTCACCCCTGCCCGAGGCTAAGCCCTCTTGTTGCCGGGGGCCACCGTCGAACCCTCTGCATGCGGGGTACTCAGCAGGAGTGCGACCTTCACTAGCCCAGGGTGACATGCCGAGGCTGAAACAGGAGGCTGTGATTCAGGTCGTTCTCTCCGCGGTGAGAAATAACCTTTCACGTTATTTCTGGAGCTGCCGGAACGTGTATGCTTTTCGCTGTCTTTTAGGGAAGGAGAGTCAGGTGCTGATGAATCCCAAGTTCAGCGTGCGCTTGGCCAGGGCTTTGGGGCGAAGTTGACCCTCAGGTAGGGTCAGTTGCTGGAGGTGGAAAGTGAGAAATGGGCCGCGGTTCAGTAACTAGCTTCTTAAATACGTCCCCTCAGTCCAGAGACCTTTGGTGGCCTGGGTGGCCTTCCTCGGAGTGTCAACTTTGGGAGTCGGTACAGTGAAGAGTCTGGAGGGGAGTGGCCCTGAGGGACCCCATGGGGGGAGGCTCCCTTCCTTCCATGCAGCGCAGAGGAGAAGACACGAGGGGAGAAGACACGAGGAGAAGACTGATTTGGGCTCACAGCAGGATCATTTGAAGCATTCGAATTACATAAACATTGTTTATTTTTTCTTAATCATTTGCTGCTTAAAATTCCCGCGAACAGTTTGAGGGATTTGTTGCCTTAAACGTGCTCTGAATTCTAGAAGCACAGAGGGCCCAGTGGATGACCTTTAGGGATTCAGGAATAGCTCGGGGGGCCCAGGGCGATGTGTGCCTGTCTTTTGACTCCGTGTAAGTGTGCCTACGGTGTGATGGTTTGGTGAATATTTTGTATTAGTGTATTAAAGTGCTGTTTTTATTATTTTAAATTTCGCTTCCACTCATTTTTATAGTAACACTCAAGAATGAAATTTTGAAATTCTTCTTAGAATAAACTCTCATTAACAGCTTTTAATAAATGCATTTTAAAATGAAAATGGCGATACTGATCCCCAAATTTGAAGGTGGCTTCTTGGTGAAGACTTTTTTTCATGCTGAGGTTTAATTCTGGTTCAGATGCTAGAAGAGGGTTTGACAGGAATGTGAGGTTCTGGCTTTTGCGAGGACAGGCTGCAGGCTGTGTTTTAATGCTGGGGATGGCGGCAGGTGATGGGGGAGTTCTCACAGGTAGAGAAGTGGGCTGTCTACACCGTCCATTCTAAGTACAGCCAAGAAGATTTCCCTTTTCAAACATACATTCCCGCCATATGCTGTTTAAAGTGGAAAATTTTCCAAATTGGGCCCTTGGTTCTTCATTCCAAAGATGGAGGGAAGGTTTCTAATGCACATGCAGTTAAGTTCACATTATGGGGCAGAATGCTGGCAGGAAAGAGAGAGTGCTGCTGTGTCCAAAGATTTCCCTTTTCAAACATACATTCCCGCCATATGCTGTTTAAAGTGGAAAATTTTCCAAATTGGGCCCTCGGTTCTTCATTCCAAAGATGGAGGGAAGGTTTCTAATGCACGTGCAGTTAAGTTCACATTATGGGGCAGAATGCTGGCAGGAAAGAGAGAGTGCTGCTGTGTCCTGCAGGGGACAGGGCTGAGCAGAGATGGAAAGGGAGTTGGCCACCGGAGGCTAATGTGGGGTGAGCTCTGACACACCTGTGCTGGAGGTCTCATCTCTGACTCTGACAGAGACAGGCCTGTGAGGCAGTGTTGGTCCAGCGCTCTCTGTTTCTGTGCTTTTAATGAATGAAGCTCTGGGGAATGCTAACCTGGGTTTTTGGAAGGAAGGCTGGCCAATCAACGCATGTTACTATGCAGAAGCACCTGAGCTGGACCAATGAGGAACATTTAAAAGTCTTAGCTTTTAAAAAATGTTAATTGATTTAATCATCATAAATGAATTATATTTAAGTGAACTATTGCTTATCGACATCGTTCTTAGGTCCATCTGTTCTTGTTTTACAGAACAGTGTGGCATTTTTTTTAAGGTCACAAGATAAGTCATTTGTAGAAGTGACAATAGACTGAGTCTCTGACTATGTCACTCCCTGTCACCTTGGTATAAAATCCATGTCTTAGCAAAGCTTCAAGGCCCTTCCTCCTCATCTGACACCTGCCTGATGGCTTCATCTCTCCCCACATCCCCTCTGTGGCCAACTGTGGCTCAAATCTCTTTTGCACGATGATTCCCACTGTTTAGATGCCTTTTCTGCACTTTTTCACCCAACTCGAGGGCAAGAACTGTCTTTCTTTTATGTCTATGACCTCAGTGTCTGTGCTCAGTCCTCAGCTGAGTGGGAGGATGGGAGAGGGGGGTGGATGGATAGAAAGATGGATGTTTGGAAGGGTGGGTGGATAGACGGGTGGGTGGGAGGATAGGTGGGTGGATGTGTGGATGGGTGGTTGGATGAGTGAATGAACAGATGAATGGGTGGGAGGATGGTGGATGGATGGGTGGGAGGATGAGTGGGTGGGATGGGTTGTTGGGGTCAACACAATATTCTGAATCCTGCTAGGGTGTCTCTAGAGCCAGTCGTTCTCACCACTGGTGTCTTCTGAAGAGAAGGTCGATAGATAATCCCTGAGTGGGGGAGTGGGGGAGGAGTTTTGGATATAAATCTGGAGTAAGGAATTTGAGTGATTCATAAAGAAGTTATCAACCAGCAATAGCGTGATGGAAAGTGGTGCGGTAACGATGTCAGAATAAGGGCCTGTTTCTGAAGTTCAATACTTAATTTTGAAAGAAAGTCTATAATATTTATCTTGGCAAATGACAAGTGTCATCGTCAGGAAACTAACGATGGGAAAGTCGTTCTGGTCTGGGGTCCTACTTCTCAGGAAGGATTTCAAAGGAAATGTCGTCAGTTGCTTTTCTGTGCGGTGGGCGGGGCGGGCTGTGTCACTGGGGTCACACAGAATCCTAGAACATCCCCCGTTGTATGTTTGTACCTGTCTCTCGCCCTCTGATCTCAGTAGCTTAGTGACGTGGACACGTGGACATTGGCTAAAACACATAAGCCAACATATTAGAACCCATCCCTTTAATATTTATAATCTAGATTAATTTCAAAGCAGTGAAAAACCATCGGACACCCAGGAACAGGTCTCTAAGTGGCGCAGATGGCAGACCCTGGGGGCGCAGCACAGGGGAAGGGAGTGGAGGGGCGTCTGCCCGAGCCTCGGGCTCAGAACTCCCTGCTGAGGCCGTGGGCATGGGGAGAATTGCTGAAAAAAATAAGATGAGGACGGGGGGAGCGTCTGTTTCTCCCCATTTCCTGGTTTTTTGTTCCTCGCTTTTTTTTTTTTTTTTTTTTTTAACTGTGTGTCTCTGAGGTGTGTTGTCTGTGTCAGTGCAGGATTCAGAGAATTTGGTTTATTTCCCTAAAGAGAGCATTTCAAACACTGAAAGTCTCAGTTCTCCTGATGTGAGTGAGAATCCGCTTGTCCAGTCGCTGCTGGCAGGGAAGGTGTGAGACCTATTCAGCTGCTGTGTTGTCTGTGTCAGTGCATGATTCAGAGAATTTGGTTTATTTCCCTAAAGAGAGCATTTCAAACACTGAAAGTCTCAGTTCTCCTGATGTGAGTGAGAATCCGCTTGTCCAGTCGCTGCTGGCAGGGAAGGTGTGAGACCTATTCAGCTGCTTCCAGCAAGGATCCCTCTGGCTACTGCGCAGGAGGAAATACATGCATTAGGGGACTGGCTGCGACTTTCTGTCCTGTGCAGGAAGGGCTGGACCCTCTCCATGGGCGAGCTCTCGGGGACCGTATAGGTGGTTCCTGTCCCATGCTGGGTCTCCCCTCCTCCCTGGTGCCCTGGAGGAAGGGCAAAATTAGCCCTGGAAATGAGCCGCAGGTCCTGATATAGCTTGGTGTCCTTCAGTCCATGGGCGAGCTCTCGGGGACCGTATAGGTGGTTCCTGTCCCATGCTGGGTCTCCCCTCCTCCCTGGTGCCCTGGGAAGGGCAAAATTAGCCCTGGAAATGAGCCGCAGGTCCTGATATAGCTTGGTGTCCTTCAGGGACTGAGGGGTTCTTTGCATGAACGTCTTGATAGAGCATCTGTTGGAGGGACAGTCCTCTTGAGTTTTAGTGTGGGGACCTGAAGGACTGGGGGTCCTCTCTCACCAGGGAGAGGGCATCAGGCTTTGGTCTCCTTCGGCAGATGAGCTGCACTGATGTGGAAATGGGCCCTGTGACATGGCCCGTGGGCAGTGGGCTCTGCTTTGTGGGGGACAGTCTTTGCCTCTGAGTTCAACCTTTCCCATGTGAAAGGGGTGAGGGGGTGCCAAGGGGAGGTGGAGAGGAGAGGACTCCCTGGAAAATTTAGCTCTCATCATGGAAAGTAACCGTTGCCCCGGATGGCCTTTCCTCGCAGGGACACCCACCGGCCCTCCCCACCATGATCCCCCCAGCGAGTGGCACTCCTCCGGGAGAGGCCCTTTTCCCCAGCGTGGCTCCTCAGGACTTCTGGAGGTCTCAGATCTCGGGCTACTCGGGGTCCATGACCCGCCACATCAGCCACCGGGCCAACAATTTCAAACGACACCCCAAGAGGAGGAAGCGCATTCGTCCCTCTCCGCCCCCACCCCCCAATACCCCATGTCCAATCGAGCTGGTGGACTTTGGGGACCTGCGCCCCCAGAGGTCCTTCCGGGAGCTGCTCTTCAATGGCTGCGTTCTGTTTGGCATCGAGTTCAGCTACGCCATGGAGACGGCCTACGTGACCCCGGTGCTCCTGCAGATGGGCCTGCCCGACCAGCTCTACAGCCTGGTGTGGTTCATCAGCCCCATCCTCGGTGAGCCCCAGCTCAGCCCCGATGGCGGACGGCCTTGGGAACCCTCCGGAAGCCTCTGGAAGGGTCCTGAGGGGACAAGGGAGGAGGAAGAGTTAAGTTCCACTCATTAGTATGGGGCTGTAGGAAAACAGGTATGGCTGGTCGTATCCCATATTTTAATTTCCTTTATCTAAACCAGACAATAGAACAGACAGGAAGTTAGATGACCCCAAGAATTCCCACCATCTTATGCCAAGCTGTCATCTGAGGATCCAGGCAGTAAAGCTCCATGTGATTTGGGTCTGGGAGGCCCTGGAATTTCTTGGATTCCCAAGGAAGGTCATGGCTACTTAGAGCCTTCTAGGCTCCAAAGTAGAAAATTGAAGGAGATGCTGACTGATTCTGAGAGTCTGTTTATCTTTCGTTTTTTAGCTTAGGGTGTTATTGCTGACCTCGAGTTTCACCATCTTGTTCTTTTGATGCATTGGGGGCCCTTGAGTGCAGGTACTTCAGGAATGTGATTCCCAGTGTGCCGTGGGGATCCAGCATTGACCACCAGCCGCTCTGTTTCAGGATTCCTGCTGCAGCCTCTGCTGGGTGCTTGGAGTGACCGATGTACCTCAAGGTTTGGAAGGAGACGCCCTTTCATTCTTGTCCTGGCTATAGGTCTGTTGTTTTGGCATGGAAATAAAATGGAAAAAAGAAAAAAGCAAGGCCCTCACTGCTTCCTTTTAGGAAAATCTGAGAGTGTTGACCAAAGCAATTACCAGATAACTCTGGGCCCTCACTGGCGGCAGCAGGAGTACCCCATAAATGGCCAGAGTTAACTGAGAGGACAAATCACTTTGATCATTTTTAAAAAATGAGTTAATAAAGTTCATCTCATTCCTGCTGTGCCTAATAAAATAAAAACCCTGATCCAAGTGCAAAAAGTGCAGTGAGTCTGCGGGTGACTTTGCCGATGTGCTGTGCTTGAAGTCTGATTACGAACATTTTGGGGGTCCTAAGGATTCTAGACTTAAGTAGTGAATTGCTGGGGAAAGAGCTAGTCTCCATTTTCTCGGGGTGACTTTATTTCTCTGTGTCCAGGGGCATTGCTGGGCCTCTCGCTCCTGCTCAATGGCAGGGACATTGGCACAGCCCTGGCTGACACCACCACCAACCACCAGTGGGGCATCCTCCTGACCGTGTGTGGGGTGGTGCTAATGGACTTCAGCGCCGACTCTGCAGATAACCCCAGCCACGCTTACATGATGGACGTGTGCAGCCCCGCAGACCAGGACCGAGGCCTGAACATCCATGCCCTCCTGGCAGGTGAGTCTCCTTCCTGCAGGGGCAAAGGTTGTATCTGAGCTGTGTGGCCCAGATCTGTGCCCTCGAGAGGACCTTCCTCACCCCCTGATTTAAAAAATCAGTTAGTAAAGTTCAAATACAGTCAGCCCTCTGCATCAGCCGGATCTGCATCCACAGACTCAATCAACTGTGGATCAAAAATATTAAAAATAAATACATAAATAAAAATAAAAAATTTTAGGGCCGGCCCCGTGGCGCACTCGGGAGAGTGCAGCGCTGGGAGCACAGCGCCGCTCCCGCTGCAGGTTCGGATCCTATATAGGAATGGCCGGTGCACTCACTGGCTGAGCACCAGTCACGAAAAAGACAAAAAAAAAAAAAAATTTTAAAAAACAGTAGAGTGTAACAACTATTTATACAGCATTTACAGTGTATTAGGTATTATAAGTAATCTAGAGATGATTTAAAGTATATGGGAGGATATGTGTAGGTTGTATACGAATACTGCACTATTTTATATAACGGACTTGAGCGTCCACACATTTTAGTAACCACAGGGGGTCCTGGAAGCCATCACCCATGAATGCCAGGGACGACTGTATATGGATAAACTCTGAAGTGATTGAAAATATGTCACAAACAATATATATTATTGTTGATATATGTGTGCATGTATGTATGTAAGTATAATTGCATTAATATTTATATAGAATTGATTGTCATTATTCATGATAGTTATGTCCTATGAAGTCATCACAAACACTGAATAGCAAATACTAAATCCTTACTCCTTGGAGAAATACAGGGCTTGGTTCCTGTGAGCCTCTGGTCACAACATTTTCATCAGCCGCTCGATACATAAGCTTGTCCTGTGTGCCTCTGCAGAGGGCACCGTACCTAACACACATTGGTGACACATTCACGTTGAGCTCACAGCTGGCAGCACTGTAGCTGGTGCCTGGGCGAAGCTTCTGTCACGCACGCATGTTCCCTGTAAGGCACGTCACGGCCTTCTGCACTTAGGAGCACCAGATGGCACTGCCGCACTACGTGTGGGGCCCTTTTAAACAGTGAAAACACCAAAAGGCACAAAAATGCAAAAAACGTGGCACCAAACAGACTGGGGGAAAGACTGTTCACAGTATGAGCAGACATGAGAAGGCAGAGTGTAACCTCTGACCTCCATGGGGGCCACGTGTGGCGAACAGCTCGATGCTGTGTATCCTTGAATGGTTGTGAAGGCACCAGGAATGTTGGTTTGCAGGTCACAACACACTGCAGTGAGCAGGTGAACTCGCAAATACAGAATCCACAGATAATGTGGACACACACGCATGGCCAGATACACGTACATGTGTGCATACGTGCACATCCGTACACGCGTCTGTGTTGTGTACATGTGTGCATACGTGCACACGTCTGTGGTGTGCTCACTGGTCAACTGAGAAGTGTTCCTATCAGAGTCGGGAACAAGTCAGAATGACTGGTAACCCACAGAGCCATTGCCGTTAGACAGTAGACGCAGACAAGAGGTACGCAGGTCAGAGTTGTCACCACTGGTCACTGTGACTGTTCACATGAAAACGGCAAGGGAATTAACTGAAAAACAGTGTAAGAATTCAGTGTGATGTTTGGTTATCAAATTATTATATAAAAATCAATACCTCTGGCTTTCCTATTTAGAGCAGATACCTTGTTACAAAGTAAAATAGAAGAAAAAATCCCATTTAAAGTAACAGTTGAAAAGACGTTTAAAAACCAAAGGATGCAAAAAAAAAAGGGCCAGCCAGGTAGTTCAGTAGGTTAGAGCACAGTGTTTCAACACCAAGGTCAAGGGTTTGTATCCCTGTACTGGCCGGCCACCAAAAAAAGGAAAAAAAAATCAAGGAAAGACTTAACATGACCTGTGCAGGACCCGTGTGAAGAGGCTGGGTTGCCGAGTGGCTCTGGGATCCGAAAGCCCGAATCCGTTCTAGGCTTTTCCTCCTGTTTATTGTGGGGCGTTGGACGAACTGCTCGGCCTCTGCAAACCTTGGTCTTCTAGAAAATGTCATTGCTTGTCTCTCTGTTTGTGCACACGTGCTGATGTGGCCGAGGGACTTTCTGAAGGGGCTGGTGCCGGAGTCTGGAGGGTAGGAAGAGGGACTTCGTTTTTCACCTTACACGAGGCCACTTCAAAAAGCTCGTGGAAAATTTTGTGTTATCTTTTATTTCTGTTTTTCCCCAAACTTCCTGAAGTGCCCTTGTACTCTTCTGTGCTGTTTCTTGCCTGCGAGAATGTATCACTTTGATCATTTTAAAAACTGAGTTAACAGAGTTTATGTGGAACCCGACCTTGTTTAAGGGGCACAGTAGTGTCTTCAAAAGAGCAGGGGGAAGCTAGTTAGGATCAGGAATGGACGAGGTCAAGGGTAATAAAATGCCAGGGGGACAAAGCAGACTCCTGAGTCTAGAAAGACGGAGGCCGAGAGGGATGGGGCTGAAGCTTTTGAAATGGGCATGAATGTGACATTAAAAGGCCGGCCTGGGACAGACAAAGGAAGTTTTATGGTCAAATCACGAAATGATTAGATTCATGGTCCTGTCCCTGCTGAGGTCCATGCGGGAGCTTGGGCTGCACGTGTCTGCTGTCCCGGCCTTTCCACGAAGTTGCTATCTCAGAGGGAAAGCCCTAATGCGGCGAGGTCTCTCCAAGACCCGAACCCCGTGCTGGTGACACAAGGGCCCCCTTCGCCAGCGGGAGTGCCCCAAGGGAGCTCAGCCCTACCGGTGACAGGCTCGAAATGCAGCTGAATCGGAGTAAGAGAAAGTCAAACACGGGACCCGGGAGGCAGCAGCCAGGGGACCGCGGGTCGGGTTGGCTGGCGCTGGCTGGGGCGGACACCCGCGGCCTTTTGGGGGTAAATGTGTCCACTGCTGCCGGCGGGGCCCAGCCCGGCATCGCTCACATTTGTGTGTCATGCTTGGTGAACCAGCTGGCCGTTCGGTCGGTGTCCTGAGGCCGTGGGGTAAGAAGGCAGTGGCAGGAACAGAAGGAATGGCTGAGCCCCCGCAGCCCTGTGTTTCCGACGTGGTGACATCCAGAGAGGCAGGGCCCAACCCGGGTCACCACTAGGGTGGCTTTCCTCGTGGCGGTGCGCACGAGGATGGTGTTGAGTGAGCAGCCGCATGCACACGCGTGGCGGTGCATGTGTGACATGAGTCTCGCTGTGTCCACACGGCCCTGAGGCCCGAGGAGGGAGACCTTCCACGGGAAGACGGGAGCCCGCGGGACGCGCACCAGTGTCCCTGGAAGGTCACGTGTGAAGTAGGACAAAGTCTCGGCAGGTGGTTGCTCAGCTACTTGCACTGGAGCCTAGTGCCAAGGTTTGTGCCCCGAAGGACCCTGGCAGGTGGCCTGAGAGGGCAGGAGAGGGGACGTCCCAAAGGGCCCGCCCATCCTGTTCTCTCTGTTGGGACTTAGATGGGACAGACACTACGTCCAGGTCCTTGGGGTGGACTTTGCTGCTTGAATGCCCTCCCAGGACATGAAACCACCTTTCTCGAGGGCTTTCCTTGCCTGCCTGTGGGAGGGAACTTACACCCTGTCTCTGTCCCCAGGTCTCGGAGGAGGGTTCGGATACGTGGTCGGGGGAATCCACTGGGATAAAACCGGCTTTGGGAGAGCCCTGGGGGGACAGCTCCGCGTCATCTACATCTTCACCGCAGTCACCCTGACTGTCTCCACCGTCCTGACCCTCATCAGCATCCCGGAGAGGCCCCTGCGGCCCCCGGGCGAGAAGCGGACGGCCATGAAGAGCCCCAGCCTCCCGCTGCCGCCCTCCCCGCCCGTGCCCGCGCTGCTGGAGGAGGCAGCCGGCGACACCGTCCCCTCGCAGGCGGCCCCCAGCGCCTACGCGAGCTTCTGCAGCCCCATCTCCCCTCTCAGTCCCCTCACGCCCAAGTATGGCAGCTTCATTAGCAGGGACAGCTCCTTGACGGGCCTTCATGAGTTTGCATCGTCCTTTGGCACCTCCAACATAGACAGTGTCCTCATTGACTGCTTCACAGGGGGCCATGACAGCTACCTGGCCATCCCCAGCAGCGTCCCGCGGCAGGCCATCAGCGTCAGCTTCCCCCGGGCACCTGATGGCTTCTACCGCCAGGACCGGGGACTCCTGGAGAGGAGGGAGGGCGCCCTGGCCTCTGGCGCCGACGGGGACGTGTTAAGGGTGGGCTCCCTGGACACCTCCAAGCCAAGGGCGTCTGGGATTCTGAAGAGACCCCAGACCTTGGCTCTCCCAGAGGCGGCCGGGGGAGCAGGTCCCGACACCAGCAGGAGAAGGAATGTGACCTTCAGTCAACAGGTAAAAGCAAATGTCGGGGGGCCGAGGATCAGACGGTGAGGAGCAGGTGTCCCCCTGGTCAGTTAGGTGACCCAGAGGGAGAGGCAGTCCGGAGAGAAAGTGCCCCGCGTCACGGAGGAATTAGCAAGTACGGTGACCTCAACAGGCAGGCCCCAGAAACGGGCGCATCTTCAGGTGCAGGCCAGGGAGGGGCCTGGGGCCCAGCGCGAGTCCACAGGTGAGCGGGTCCCCGTGTCTGGTAGGTGTCATCAGGCCACTTAATACCCCGGCTCCAAATGAAAGTGGCCGTTCTCGTACACACGGTTATGTTTGCCCAAAGGTAATTCAGGCCAGGACTGCCCCTCTAGTGAGTGTGTTCCGGGCACTGTGTGCCTCTTGCTCATTTCTAGTATTTTCTTCTCAACATCCAGTCCACAGCCCATTTTGGCCGTGTGAATCTGGTGCCAACAAATAAAAAAGTCTTCGCAGAAGATGAAAACAAAATGTTAAACCTGCTGATATTTCTGGGACTATCTCTCCTACGGTCTGACATTAGCTAACCCCAGAGACTGTAAAAACTCTGGATTCTCAACTCTGGCATCTTCTACAAAGGCAAAGAACCTTCCAGAAGGAGGTGTGAGTTGTAGTTAATATTCATCGATTGGCTGCAGGGTTGCTAACTGATATGTGGGGATTTACCAGCTTTCGGAGTCCGTGATCTTGAGGAGGCCACTGTAAATGCAAGAGAGGTTATTCTCTTGTTTAACGTAGACGGGCCCTGCCTGCCTCGGGGGTCACTACAGCGGGAGAGATCATTTCAATAAGAACTTGGAGTGCCTTGAGCATGAGTCCCCAGGCACGTGTCTAACCTGCCCAGGTCCCTCAAGGAAGGCAGCTCCAAAGACCAGGTAGACCAGAAGCCCAGTGAGGCACTTTGCTGGGGCATGGACGTTTTGGGGTGGTCTCTCCCCCATGAAGTAAACCTCTCTGCCTGACCCATCCAAGTCCACATGTGACCAGGATGAACGGGTCCTTGTTAGGTCCCCCCACACCCTCAGGGAGCCCGGGTGTCCCTTCTCTGTGCCTGGGAAGACTTCCCTGATTTAGTTAGAGGTTAGCTAGAGACAGACGAAGGTACTTACATGAGAGTACTTCAAAAAGTTCATGGAAAGATTCATATTATATTTTATTCTATTTTTCCACAAACTTTAAAAAGTATCCTTGTATCTCGAGGTGGCCGTTCGTTGTCTCCTCACAGTTCAATTCTTAAACACAACCCTGCGTCTTCTGTTTTCTCTGGTGTGCTATGGCTACTCAGTCTTGTTAGTGTTGTTCTCTCTCTTTCCTGTAGCTTTTTTTAGAAATAATTTTTTAAAATTTATTTTTAAATTTTATACATTTATGGGGTACAGAGTAACGTTTTGATACGTGGGTACAGTGATAGTCTAAACAGGGTCCTTAGCATATCCACCACTGCAAACATCATTTCTTTGTGTTGAGAACATTTGAACTTTTCTATTCTAGCCATTTGAAAATATACAACAAATTTCTGTTGATGATAGACCCTGGCACTGCTGTAGAACACTGGAACTTCCTCTTCCTTTCTAGCTGTAGGTCTGCATCTGTCACCCACGCTCCCCCTAGTACTCGGTCCCCGCTCCCAGCCTCTAGTAACCACCGTTCTGCTCTCTCCTGTGAGTGCAACACTTTTCGCTTCCACGTGTGAGCGGGTCCATGCAGTGTTTAGCCTTCTGTTCCTGACTTCTTTCACTTAACATAATGTCTTCCAGAATCATCCATGTTTTTGCAAATGACAGGATTTCACTCTTTTTCATGGCTGAGTAGTATTCCGTTGTGTGTACACACCACGTTTGCTTTATCCAGTCATCTGTTGATGGGCACTCAGGTTGATTCCGTATCTTGGCTATGGTGGACAGTGCTGCAGTGAACGTTGGGGTGCAGACATCTCATCGGTAGGCTGATTTCATTTCCTTTGGATATGTACCCAGTGGTGAGGTTGCTGGATCACGTGATCTATTTTTAGTTTTTTGAGGAACCTCCGTACTGTTCTCCACATTGGCGGCACTAACCTACATTTTCACCGACAGTGTGGAAGGGCTCCCTATTCCCCCATCCTTGCCAGCATTTGTTATTTTTTGTCTTTTTGACAGTAGCCATTCTAACTGGGGTGAGATGATACCTCATTTTGGTTTTGATTTGCATTTCCCTGATGATTAGTGATGCTGAACATTTTTTTTACATACCTGTTAGCCATTTGTATGTTTTCTTTTGAGAAATGTCTATTCAGGTCATTTCCTCATTTTTTAAATTGAATTATTTGGTTTATTAGCTGTTGAGCTGTTTCAGTTCTCTGTGTATTCTGGGTATTAATCGTTTTTCGATGAATAGTCTGCAGATATTTTCTCTCATTCCGTGGGTTTCTTCTCTGCGCTGTGGGCCGTCTCCTTTGCTGTGCAGAAGCTCCTCAGTTTGATGTAGTCCGTTGCCTGCTTTTGCTTTTGTTGCCTGTGCTTTTGAAGTCTTCTCCATAAAACTCTTTGTCCAGACCAACGTCTTGAATCATTTCCCCTATGTTTTCTTCTATTAATTTTGTAGTTTCAGCTCTTAATTTAAGACTTTGATTTTGAGTTGATTTTTATGTATGGTGAGAGATGGGGTCTAGTTTTATTCTTCTGCATGTAGATGTCCAGTTCTCTTAGTACCATTTACAGAAGAGACTGACTTTTCTGCAGTGTATGTTCTTGGAGACTTTGTCAAAAATCAGTTGGCACAGATTTATTTCTGGTTCTTGATTCTGTTCCATTGGTCCATGTGTCTGTTTTTATGGCAGTACCATGCCATTTTGGTTACCATAGCTTTGTAGTGTATTTTGTAGTCATGTAGTGTGATGCCTTCAGCTTTGTTCTTTTTGCTCAGGATTGCTTTGGCTATTTGGTGTTTTTTGTGGTTTCATATAAATACAAGTTTTAGGATTTTTTTTTCTATTTCTGTGAAGAATGTCATTAGTATTTTAGTAGTAATTGCATTGAATCTGTAGAACACTTTTTTTAGTATGGTCATCTTGACAATATTCTTCCAATCGATGAACATGGGGTGTCCTTTCTTTTTTTGTGTGTCCTCTTTAATTTCTTTCATCAGTGTTTTGTAGATTTCTTTTGTAGAGATCTTTCACTTCCTTGGTTAAATTTATTCCTAGATGGGATTTTTTTGTTTTTTGTAGCTATTATAAATAGGATTGCTTTCTTGAATTCTTTTCCAGCTAGTTTGTTGTAGGTTTATAGAAATGCCACTAATTTTTATATATTGATTTTGTATATTGCGACTTTACCAAATTCATTTATCAGTTCTAAGAGGGTTTTTTTTGGTGGAGTCTTTGGAGTTTTCTATTTATAAGATTATGTCACCTGCAAACAAGGACAATTTAACTTCTTTTCCAATTTGGATGCCCTTTCTTTATTTCTGTTGCCTAATTGTTCTGGCTAGGACTTCCAGTACTATGTTAAATAAGAGTGGTGAAAGTGAACATCCAATACTATGTTAAATAAGAGTGGTGAAAGTGGGCATCCTTGTCTTGTTCCTGTTTTTAGAGGAAAAGCTTTCAACTTTTCCCCATTCAGTATGGTGTTAGCTGTGGCTTTGTCATATATGGCCTTTACTGTACTGAGGTACATTCCTTCTATACCTAATTTGTTGAGAGCTTTTATCATGAAGGGATATTGAATATTGCCAAATGTTTTTTCTGTGTCTATTGAGATTATCATATGGCTTTGTCCTTCACTTTGTTGATGTGATGTATCACATTTATTGATTTGCACATATTGAACCATCCTTGCATCCCTGGAATAAATCCTACTTGATCATGGTGTATAATCTTTTTGATGTGCTGTTGGATTCAGTTTGCTAATATTTTTTTGAGGATTTTTGCATCTATGTTCATCAGGAATATTGACCTGTGGTTTTCTTTCTTTGTTGTGTCCTTTTCTACTTTTGGTATCAGGGTAATGCTGGCCTCATAGAATAAGTTTGGAAGAATTCCCTCCTCTTCAATTTTTTGGAATAGTTTGAGAAGAATTGGTGTTAGTTCTTCTTGAAAAGTTTGGTAGGATGCCATGGTGAAGCCTTCTGGTCCTGGAATTTTTTTTGTTGGGAGACTTTTTATTACTGATTCAATCTCATTACTCATTATTGGTCTGTTCAGGTTTTCTATTTCTTCTTGGTTCAGTCTTGGTAGGTTATGTTTGCAGGAACTTGTCTATTTATTCAAGGTTTTCCAGTTTGGTAGTGTATGGTTTTTTAAATAGTCTCTTACAATCCTTTGCATTTCTTTGGTATCAGTTGTGATGTCTTCTTTTCCATTTCTAATTTTATATAGTTGGGTCTTCTCTCTTTTTTCCTTAGTTAGTCTAGCTAATGGTTTGCCCCAATTTGGTTTACCTTTATAAAAAAGGAACTTTTTGTTTTTTTGATCTTTTATATTTTTTGTCTCTATTTCATATAATTCTGCTCGGATTTTTATTATCTCTTTCCATCTACTAGTTTTGGGATTGCTTTGTTCTTGTTTTTCTAGTTCCTTGAAGTGCAATATTTGGTTGTTCATTTGAAATCTTTCTACTTTTTTTTTTTTTTCCCTTTTTGTCTTTTTTTGTGTCCGGCAACGGATCGCAACCCTCAGTGCTGCCCCCGCTCCTCGCTCAGCCAGTGAGTGGCTGGTCTGCATGTGGGATCCGAACCCTCGGCGGGAGCGCCGCTGCGCTTCCCAAGCGGCGCACTGTAGCAGTGCGCCACCGGGCCGGCCCAAAATCTTTCTACTTTTTTGATGTAATCATTTATTGCTATAAACTTCCCTCTTAGTATTGCTTTTGCAGTATCTGATAGGTTTTGGTATGTTCTGTTTCTATTTTCATTTGTTTCAAGGAATTTTTTGATTTTCATCTTAATTTCTTCCCTGATACATTGGTTATTCAGGAACACATCATTTAATTTCTATGTATTTGTACAGTTTCTAAAGTTCCTCTTGTTATTGATTTCTAGTTTTATTCTGTTGTGTTTTGAAAAGATACTTGATATGATTTTGGTTTCTAAAAATTTATTAAGGCTTATTTTGTGGCATAACCATATGGTCTATCCTGGAGAATGTTCCATGTGCTGATGAGAAGAATGCATATTCTGCAGCTGTTGGATGAAGTGTTCTGTAAATGTCTGTTAGGTCCATTTGGTCTATACTGCAGTTTAAGTCCAATGTTTCTTGTTGATTTTCTGTCTAGATGATCTGTCCATTGCTGAGAGTGGGGTGTTGAAGTCCCCAAATATTATTATATTGGGGTCTATCTTTCACTTTAGCTGTAATAATATTTGCTTTATATATCTGGGTACTTTAGTGTTGGGTGTATATATATTTACGTGCTGAATTAATCCCTTTATCATTATATAATGACCTTTTTTGTCTCTCTTTTTTTTTTTTCCTTTTTGTCTTTTTTCGTGACCGGCAACGGATCGCAACCCTCAGTGTCGCGCCCGTACTGGACCGGGACCGGCAACGGGATCGCAACCCTCGGTGTTGCACCCGCACCTCGCTCAGCCAGTGAGCGGGAACCGGTCTGTATGTGGGATCCGAACCCTCGGTGGGAGCGCCGCCGCACTCCCAAGCGGCGCACTGTAGCAGTGCGCCACCGGGCCGGCCCTTTTTTTGTCTCTTTTTATATTTTTATTTAAAGTCTCTTTTATCTGATACAAGCATAGCCACTTTTTCTCATTTTTGGTTTCAATTTGCATACAATGTCTTTTTTCATGCCTTTGCTTTTAGTCTATGTGCATCTTTACAGGTGAAGTGCATTTCTTGTAGGCAGCATATAGTTGGGTCTTGCTTTTGTATTGATTCAGACAGCCTATATCTTTCAAATGAGGAATTTAATCCATTTACATTCAAGGTTGCTGTTGAAAGGAGTGGACTTACTTGTGTCACTTTGTTGTTTTCTGGTTATTTTGTATATCCTTTGTTCCTTCCTTTTTTATTGTTTATCCTTGTGGTTTGATGCTTTTTCTGTAGTGAAAGATATGATTCTTTCTCTTTCTCATTTGCATATCTGTTCTACCAGTCACTTTTACCCTTTTGCATGTTTTGATGATGGTAGTTATCATATGGCTAGTCAGTCTCAGTGCTACTGCATTATCATTTAAGCTCGATGATCATCTTGTCTTGATGAAGTATGCTGCAAAGGTGTGTGCTAGTTCTTGCAGGGAAATACATTGAGACTCCCCATGGACAGTATCAAAGACATCACATGAACTCATGTCTGGAAAGGGTTTGAAGACCTGAAAATCACTGGAGAGTCAAGAAAGCCCACCATTGTCAAAGGAAAGAGATTTTCTAATTGCTCAAGTCAGGGGCATTGTTATCCTCATTTTTGATGATATCAGAGTTATTAATCTGACCTTTTGTCAATACTGGCTCAACCTATCTTATTTCAAAAAATTCAAACTGGATTCTAGATATAGTTCTTTAGGTCTGGTTGAAAATCTCATCTTAATCCTTTTCCTCTATTTCTATTCTCCATATATAGTGTAGTTTATGCATCAGTTCTTTGAGGAAAGTAAAAATCATGAGCTAAATATAAACACTTCTGGGCTCAAGTGGGGACATAGGTGTAATTTAGCAGTCTTCCTCCAAGGTGGCATGGGTGACAAGCTCTGTTGATGTGGGTGCCCTTGGAACCAGCACTGGAGGCTCTCTGCTTCCTTTTTCCACCCAGAATATCCAGGTGCTGAAAACACCACAAATTCCCCAATACAACCAGAGCAGTGTCTCCTCTTTATACTCAAAACATCTAAATTCCAAAATGATTAGTTTGCCTGGCTGGAGTGAACTGGAGTCTGTATCCCAAACCCAGGCCGGGCTGTTGTAGAATGAAAACTTCCCATTCCAGAAAGAGTTCACAAACCAAGTCAGTGAGCATGTATGTCCATTGAATGTTGTTCTTGAGCCCCAGAAGGAAATCTAAACTCTACTTGTTCCAGTTTCCATTCTGTTGACAACAGGGGTGTCTTGGATGCACAGGGAGCCCTTGTTGAGGTCAGAGGTACCCATGGCCTCCCTGTCCTCCATGTGATAGGAGTTGCTCCTGTTCAAAGAGAATTTTAAACAGACATCCCCAATCACCTTGAAATAAGTCTTTCACAACCTTCTATTATGGAAAAGACGGGACTTTGTAATACCTGGATTTGAACTGACCCATATTTCTTTCATTTCAAATTTACTTAGCATTTTGCAAAGTGTTGACTTGCTCCCTGTGGCACAGATCTTGCATCCTGTGGCCAAACTGTGGGCACACCTGAAATGAAATTCTATTCTTAGCTGCTCCTGGATTTCAGAAGAGATGACCCAAAGTCATCTCTCTCATTCACAGGTGGTGTCTGGCGTTCAGTTAACACCATGTAATAAGAAGACAATTCCTTTGCATCCTCTGTGTGTTGTGATTCTGAAAGTGTGTTCACTTTCTCATCACAGCAAAATACACGCTTCCACGTGCTGAGGGCATGTGGTGCTCTGATGACGGGCTTTTTCTGGGCTTCCTTTACAGGTAGCAAATATTCTACTTAACGGTGTGAAGTACGAGAGCGAGCTGACGGGCCCCAGTGAGCAGATGGAGCAGCCTCTGTCCATGCGGCGCCTCTGCTCCACCATTTGCCACATGCCCAAGGCGCTTCGCAACCTCTGCGTCAACCACTTCCTGGGTGAGCTCTGGGCAAAGCCTCCTCATGGGCCTGTGTCTGGGGCTTGGGTTATGCTGCACATCCCCACATGATGGAGATGGGGCCACCTGTCCTGGGCAGGATGTAGGTGTGGTGGCTGCCCTGGAGGGTGCTTCTCCAGGGTGCCTGCTCTGGAAGCCCCAAATGAAAGTGGGTGTTCTGGTTGAGAGGCAGACCATGTCCCCCGGGCCAGACACCTGGTCTCCACACAGCCAGAATCTTCATGACCAAATGCCCCCCGGGCGACTCACAGTGACATGATGGGCCCCACCTTCCCACTGTGCAGACCTTCACACCTGCCTACATGTGTCTACCACTGCTCTTAAATTCACAAGGTGTGCGGTTCAAACGACAATTGAAAAGCTCCAACTTGCATTTCCTTCCGTTTGGTATCTCTTCACTGTCGAGTTGTTGAACATCTGAAGGTGATGACAAGTTTGAGATAATCTAGGGCTCTCATACATTATGGGACATAAACCAGCATGGCCTTCCAGAAGGCAACATGTCAACAGGCAAGGATCTTAAAAGTGTTCCTAACTCGCATCCCAGTGAGCTTGCCTGGTGTTACATGTGAGCCCACGATGCGAGATGGCACCAAGGGTATAAGCGCAGGGCACTTATCACAGCAGGGATTGTAGTGGCCAAAAACCAGGGTGGGGGTGTAAACATCCAGCAGTCGGGGAAGGGGAAACCTTGTGAAATATTTGGCTGCCATTAAAATGAGTCTGTTTAATAATATTTGATGGCATGGGAAGTTGTGCGTGATAGTTTATCGTGGCTCAAGAGGGCTAATAAATACCACCTTCCTCTACCAAAGGAGGAATCGACGCGGCAGTCAGAGGTTTCGTTGGTAACAAAGCACGTGGGTCTGTAGCAACATTTACGCTTCCTAATGTATTTCTCCCAATAAAAGGGACACTCCCCGCCCCAGGTAGATGGAGCTCCACTGGCCTTGCGTTTATAAAGACATATACTTATTTAAAATCAAAGACTGGAAGGAAACTTACAGTTTTACAGAGATTGTCTCTGGGTGGTGAAGCTCTAGGTAATTTCTTCTTTAATTTTTGAATCTGTAAAAATCACTTGTTACTTTTATAATCGGTAAAAGCAGGTAGTTAAGGAAGGGTGGCGCTCCGGCCTCGCAGCCCGTAGTCACGCACCCCTGCCTTCCCCCCAGGGTGGCTGTCGTTCGAGGGGATGCTGCTCTTCTACACGGACTTCATGGGCGAGGTGGTGTTTCAGGGGGACCCCAAGGCCCCGCACACGTCGGAAGAGTATCGGAAATACAACAGCGGCGTCACCATGGGCTGCTGGGGCATGTGCATCTACGCCTTCAGTGCCGCCTTCTACTCAGGTACCCGCGCCAGGGCACACGTGGGCCTGGGCCACACGTGGGTCTGGGCCACACGTGGGCCAGGTCCTTTCGTGGCAGTGACAGCCTCTGGTCGGCTCACTGGAGTATGTGCAGTGAAGGAAGGTTGTGTCTTTACAGTTGCAGACACAATCCTAACATGAGGGGTGACACCACTGTCTTTTCTTAGTCCCTGCACAACTGTGGAGGGCCTGCTGGCTGCACTGCCCTGGGCCTGGGGTAGAAGCTGGGTGCACAGAGGCCTCCAGGGATCTGGCACCCTGCAGGGGACAGGTGTGTATCCAGACCTGACTAAACCACCGGCCATAGTGAGAGCAAAGCCAGGGCCCAGGGATGAAGGAACCCTGCGGCCAGCCCCCAGGCAGGCATGCTGCCTGCCAGCCCCCATGCCCTTGCCACGTGGCCTCATGAAGCACTTGGTCCATAGTGGGTGGAGGGTGGGGCTGAGCATGCCAGGGCAGGTGGAGCGAGGTCATGGAGTAGGTGGGGTGGGCAGAGCCAGAGTTCCTGCAGTTTTGCACCTGGGTGACCCATGGGACGCAGGAGGCCCGGTGGGGGCCTGGCTGGAAGTGTGCAATGGGTCAGTGTTACCTCAGGGGTCCACACACTTTCTAACAGGCCAGATTGTAGATATTTCCACCTTTGTGGCCTAAATGGTCTCTGTTGAGGCCACTCCCAAAAAGCGGCTGCAGATGATACCTCAGCAAATGGGCGTGGCCTGTGCCAATAAAACTTTATTAGGTTCACTGAAAAATGTGGATTTCATGCAATTTTCACGTGTCACAAAATATTCATCTTTTGATTTTTTTTTTCCATTTAAAAGTATGGAACTATTCTTAGCTCCAGGGCCATACAGAAACAGGCCGGACTCGCCCTTCGAGCTGTCCGTAGTCTGCCAGCTGCTTCATTTTACCTGCTGCCATCCCAGCGACTGAGCCCCGCAGTGCAGGATTATTACTGTTGAGCGTGTGTGCTTGGGGGCGTCGAGAGGCTGTACGAAGAAGGGACTGTTAGGTCTCACCTGCAAGGCCAGGGTCGCACCTGGGCTGTCGGGCTCCCCCATGCTGGGGCCTCAGGATGGGGGAATGGCCCCGTACTATCTGACTCTAGGAGGCACTGCTGTTGCCCTCCCTGTTGTCATGCCATCTCGGGGCACCTCGAGGCCATCGTAGAGATGGTGGCTGGCTGGGGGATGGGCTGCAGGTGTCCCCATTGTAGGAAAGAGACAGAGAGGAAGAACTGGGGTGAGAACAGAGCTTTCGCTCAAGATCCTAAACCCTCAGCCTCTTTGCTGCTTCAGCCCAAAGACTTCATGGTTTACAGAGCTGCCGGGGACCTGCTGGGGACCTGCCAGGGCCGTGTGAGTGGGGCCATGCCAGGTCCCGCTGTGCACCTGGACGGTCCTGCCCTGGGTGCGCCCCAGAGCCGCTGGTGGCCCCTCAGCTCCCCTGGGGCCCCCAAGAACTGCTTTCTGGCCAAGACCTTCCTGCCACTGCTAGCTTCAGGGTCAGCCCCGGGACACAGCATGGGCAAGCCAAGTCCCCAGAGGCCCGGGCCCCACAGCTGCTCCCGTCTCTGCGCAGCCATCCTGGAGAAGCTGGAGGAGGTCCTCAGCATCCGCACCCTGTACTTCATCGCCTATCTCGCCTTCGGCCTGGGCACCGGGCTGGCCACCCTCTCCAGGAACCTCTACGTGGTCCTGTCCCTGTGCATGACCTACGGCATCCTGTTCTCCACGCTGTGCACCCTGCCCTACTCGCTGCTCTGCGATTACTACCAGAGCAAGAAGGTGAGCATGTTCTTGCTTCGGGTCCGCCTCTGGGAGAAACCCCACCTGACAAATGACCCCAGGACTGGCCGCCACCCATGGCCCGATGCAAAATGAAGACTCTCGAGATGATGAGAGCGGGCATCAAACCGAGGGGCTCCTTCTGAGTAGGGGCCCCTGCACCTGCCTGGGTCGCACGCCCGGGAAGCCACCCCTGCGTCCCCTCCCTCCTTGCTTCCTATGTGGATGCCCTCAGACCACACCCTGCCCTGTCAGCCACCTTGTTCGCAGGGACACTGGGCCAGGGAGGTCCCCCTTCCTGCTCTGTCGGGCTTCAGGCCCCTGTTAACACGGGGTGGGGCGGGCAATTCAGGGCAACTCAGCAGCCAAGGCCAATGCCATGTCCATGCACTGCCTTAAAAATCAGAACGAGTGCCCAGAACCCGTGCCAATCACGATATCAAAATCGTAGGTAAGGCCAGGGGTCAGTGACAGTGCCGGGCCAAGGCTTGCTGGAGTCAGAGGCAAAAGGGGAGACGAGGCCTAGTGATCCTGCCTTTTAAAAAACCTGGATATTTTGCTCAGCATGGATCTTTCCTTCACAGCCACGCTGAGACATAATTCACCATGCAATGTACCTGTTCAAAGTGTACAATTCAGTGGCTTTAGTATATTCACAGCTGTGCAACCATCACCACAATCGGTTTTAGAACATTTTTTTGTCACCCCCCCTCACTCCCTCGAAAAAGCAGCCACGCCCAGCCCTGGCAGCCGTGCTCTGCTTCTGCCTCTGTGGAGTTGCCTGTTCTGGACGTTTCCTGTGAATGGCCTCGCACAGTCTGCGGCCTGTTGTCTGGTTGCTTTGGCCCGCGTCACGTTTTCCAGGGCCACCCATGCTGTGGCACCTGTCAGTGCTTCATTCCTCTTACAGCCACGTGATAGTCCCGCCGTGAGTTTCTTTGCAGCAACTTTTAAATTTTTAAAACACTGCATCAAAATACCCCCTCGATGACCGAGTTTCTCTCGCCCCTTTCAGTTTTGTGCCTTAGTCGCCCCCCTCCAGGCCAGAACCTGTTTTGGGAAGTTTGGAGTCTGACAGGCTCAGCGGGGCTGCCTCAGCGCAGCACTGCCCTGAAGAGCAGAATCGGCCTGGCGCTCCCGGTTTCATGGCACAGGGGAGATGGCATCTTTGCATGGTAGTGTCACCTACCTTTCAGCTCAGTCATGGTCACGTGAGACAGGCAGTGGCCATGAGGCCTGTACCTCAGCAGTGGCTATGGTCTCCTTGAAAGTACTGTCCCTGGCGACCCAGGGCTTTCTTCACTGGGGTAAAGGCTGTGCCAGTTTTTGTCAAAGGACTGCCCTCCCCCCCCCATGGGAGGGGACACTCAGGGCATCTTGGGCCTCTGCGGCCTGTGGAGTCTCCTGGCCACTCCCAGCCTCTGCTGGGTTGTAGGTTCACGGCTAACCTCGGTGCCCAGGGGCAGCTCCCTGCTGGCCTCACTGCCATGTGTAGCCAAAGGGGTCCCCAGCTCCCTGGGGACATACACAGTGCCCATTCACTAAGCACCTTGCAGGTGCCCTTGAGGGTAATTCTGGGCTGGACACAGGTTTCTCCAGCATCCTGGAAGGTGGCCCTGTCTACATCTGGATGCAGGATGAGGGGATGCTGGTCACCAGGTGGCATGCATGTGGCACTCTTGGGGGGTGACATCAATGTGATGCGTCAGCGGCTGTTGGGTGAGAGTGGCCTGTACTGGGGGACACCAGGTGGGGAGCAGAAGGAGGGAGACCCCCACCATCCCCCCCCCGGTCACTCCTCAAAGCCCACCTTCCCCCCCACTCTCCCCTCTGTCCCCACGTGGTATGGAAGGTGGGGAGGGTGAGGGACGCATTGAGCTGGGGGCCCTCAGCTCTCAGGACACTAGGCGGAGCCCCTGAGCCGTGCACAGTGAAGGGGTATTTCAGGGTGTGTTACAGACATCACAGCTCACTAAGGGGCGAGGGGGGCTGGAGCGGAGTGGCCACTGGCCGGGCTGGTGGCTTTCTTTGGTGGGGAGCCGGGGAGCCCTCTGCCCTCAGTCACGGGCACCTTCTGCTGTCGTCTCTCCAAAGACGGATGTCATTAAACTCTCAGCCAGACTCTCTGTGCACGTCGGCCCTGGAAATGTGAAGCCACTGCGTGGGCCACTCGGGTCCCCTGGGCCTGCAGGAAGCACAGGGCTCGGTCACTGGGTCACCAGGCCCTGCGTGGCTGGCCGCCGTGGGTCTCGCTGACACGTTTCTTCTTCTGGGTCAGTTCGCAGGGTCCAGTGTGGATGGCACCCGGCGGGGCATGGGCGTGGACATCTCCCTGCTGAGCTGCCAGTACTTTCTGGCCCAGATTCTGGTCTCCCTGGTCCTGGGGCCCCTGACCTCAGCCGTGGGCAGCGCCAACGGGGTGATGTACTTCTCCAGCCTCATGTCCTTCCTGGGCTGCTTGTACTCCTCCCTGTTTGTCATTTACGAAATTCCTCCCAGTGACACCACAGACGAGGAGCATCAGCCCCTCCTGCTGAATGTCTGACATCCTGGAGTTGACTTTGGACTCGTCCCTGAGTTGGGGGCTGGGGGCTGGGGGCTGGAGCAGGCCAACCAAGGCAGAACCAAAGGACCTTGGTGGACAGGGGACAGGCTTCCTGTTGAATGTAAATAGTGATAAAATAATAAACAGCAGCAGCAAAGCCCACGGTTTCTAGTTGTGGCTCTCCTGAAGGGTGAGAGGTCACCTGGGGATCGGGCTGCTGTCCATGGGGACCGGGTGGAGGGAGGTTGTAAGAGTCACTTATTGAGAGTAAAGGTGTCATTCAATGTTCTCCAACAGCGGTGATTGATTTTTCCATCCCTCCCCACCCCCAGGAAGACATTTGGTAATGTCTGGAGATATTTTTGGTTGTCACCACTCTAGTGGGTGCTGTTGTCCAGGGATGCTGTGAACACCCTACAGTGTGCAGGACCGTCCCCATCAACAAAGAACTGTCAGGCTCCGGATGTCAGTAGCGCCGAGCCTGGTTTAACTCCACCACATGTTCTGACATAACATCCCAGGGCTGAGTTAGAGCATGTAATTTTGGGGGTGGGGAGGTCAGAAAGCCTCAGATTCATTCATTCATTCATTCATTCATTCATTCATTCATTCATTCATTCTCCCATCCACCCACCCTACAGATATTCAGCAAGTGTCCTGGGTGTGGTAGGTGCTGGGGATCCAGCTGTGCCCTCGTGGAAATGATGTGCAAGGAGGGACAGATCACGCACTATTCTGTGCCTGAAGATGACGGTAACTGCTGTTAAGCACATGAACGGGCAGGAGGATGGGACGGCCGGGGCGGGGCAGGGCAGCCGCTCGGGTGAGACGCCGCCTGGGCAGTGCCCTGATGAAGAGAGGGGGTGATTTCTGAGGTGGGAACTTGTTTGATGCGTCCGAGGAACCACAGGCGTCCAGACGCTCAGACCTTGATGACTGTGCAGTGGGAAGTCAGGAAGGCCGGTGTGAATGCAGCTGGCTGTCGCCTGTCCTGCCGTCGAGGGCTGTGGGCTGGGGGCCAAGGGCCGGGCCTTTCCCCCCTCCGTCCTCCAGTCGTTCACTCTGTGACGGACACCAAGCGCCCACTGCGCGCAGGCACTGTGCGGGGCCTGGTCTGCACGGGCCTGTGCCCGCTGCCTTCCAGCGCCTGTTCGTGGACCTGGACAAAGCTCAGGCTTCTTGTGAGTGCGCCAGTCCTTTGCCATCTGGCCTTTGACCATCTTCCACCACTTGACACCCCAAACTCACCGAGGCCGCTCCCAGATGCCCCTGGGCGGGCTCTTCTCCCTGTCCTGTGATAGGAGGCTGTGGCTGGGTCACTGTTGTGAACTGGGCCTGGCCTGAGATTGTGCAGTTCCCCAGTACCCCCCAAGTATGGTCCCTATGATTTGGGGACATACAGGACACCCCTGACCCCAAGTCCAAAACAAACAACAGGGGTCCTGGGCCCACTGCCAGCCTCTGAGGAGAGTCTGGGATTTATGGCTGTGTCCCATCACCTTGCTCTGTGACCACTTAGGGCCAGTCGGGCAGAAAAACCATGGCCCTCTGCCCGGCACCGTGGCCACCTCCCCACACAGGCCATGGCCGTCCCCAGGCCTCTCCCTCAGTGTCATTGCCTGTTGCCCTCCTGACGCTAAGGTGGCCCCTGTGGGGTCACTGAGGTCTAGCCATTCCCGTCTGCGTCCCGTCCTGCTCTGGGATCTCCGTGCAACTCCTGGCCCCCAGTCCACCCTCCCATCCATCCTGCGCCCTGCAGCTGGAGGAGCTGTGAACACAGGCCTGAGCCCAGCCCTTCCTCCTTAACACCTTAAGAGCCTAAGGAACCAGGTGTAAACTCCTCACCCCCAACCTGAGTACAGCCCACCTGCCCCAGCCCACCTGCCCCCACGTCGCCAGCCTCCTGTGCCACAGCCACAGGCTCCTCGCGGCCACAGACGCGCTGTGCCTGTGCTCATGCTCTCCCCACAGGCGACATCTCTCACCTCCTGTCTGCACATCAATACCTGATCCATCCGTTTAGATCCATCTGAAACACCACCTCCTCTGCACAGCCCACCCAGGCCGGGATTGGTGAGTCCTTCCCTGTCCCTTCATGTCATGTCATTTTACCCTCTGTGGTTGTGAGCTAGGTGAGGCGGTTCTGGTTGTCCCTGATTTATGTATAGGTGAGGCACAGGGAAGTTTGGTGGTCACACGGCTCCTTTGGGCCTCCTTGGACCCAGCCTCCTGTCAGTCCCATGCTTTTTCTGGAACCTCAGACTCATCCTCCCCACGTTGATATTGCTTAGAACAGCTTTAGATTGTCTAGAAAATGTGGTGTTGGGGGGCCGTCCCGTGAGCGGAGCTGTTTTTGCCCAGAACTGGTCAAACCTGCAGGAGATAACGAGCAGGGAGGCTCCACTCGGCTTGTGCAATCCCAAGCCCTCGTCCTAGAACTAAGTAAACACACATTGCTCTCCCGTGCGGGGATGGCTGCTCCCCGGCCAGTGCCAAAGAGCTGCCCCTGACCTTCAGCTGATGGCAGTGGCAGCAACCTCCAGGCTCCCTGGACTCCCTGAGAGCAACACCCGTTTGATTTCCACATCTAGAGAGGACCCCTCTCTACATGAAAATCGAGCTGTGGTGATGGTGACAGGAACAGCTGCCTGCTGCTCTCTGTCTCCTAACCACGTGCCCGGCAATGCACATCCTGCTTCATTCTCCTGACCACACCATTTTACAGACCTGGACCCGGACCCTGAGACCAACACACCAAGTACCTGGCCCTGGTCACACCTGTTCATATCTGGCAGGGCTGGGACTTGAGTCTGGGGAAGCTGATTCCAGACCTCACGCTGCTCAGTACCTTAGGAGCAAATGTTGCCCCCCACGTGCTGGCGGGCAGCCTTGGGCTTGCTCCCCAGGGAGCGCAGCTGGGAGGCAGCTCCTCACTCCACTGGAGGAACGAGGAAAGGGAGAGAAAGCTTCCTGCTCTACGGGCCAGTGGCCAGTGAGACTCGCCTTCTCAGGTCACTGAAAACAAAACAAAAACCATGCCACCAAAATTGGAAGCCACTTCTGACTTCCCCTCAGCAAATATGAAAATCAGCTCCCGTTCGTTGACGTTCCTAGGACGGGAAACACACCTAACCGCCTCGAGCACCGGCCACAGTGTTTAGAGTACAAACCAGTGCCGAACTGAAGGGATCGATCTCGAAGTCACAGTCCTTGTCGGTTTTGAGTTTCTATCTTCCTAGGCTGTTGGAATAACTCTCGACCACCCCTTGGACACTGGGGACTGGGCGAGGTGGCATCCCAACACTCGTTAGGTTGGGCTACAGGTTTCCCACGGAATGGAGGTGGTTTCCATGGAATATGCCAGAATGCACAGTGCCTGGGCCCATGGAGCAGTCAGGAGGCCCCAGGCTCTCCCTGCACACAAGAGTATGTTTGCAGAGTCAATGCAGTGCCTGATGTGTCCTTGTCACTGGCCAGGAGCAGGTTCTGAGGATGCTTAGCAGGGCATCAGAGGAGGAAAGGAGCAGATCTCCTGGAGCTGGGGGCTCCTTCGGGGTGCAGAAGGGCCCTCAGGACAGCAGCTGCTCAGGGAGATTCTGGGGGCTGGGAGGGTGGGGGGAAGTTACTGGGGCCATGATTCTTGGAAATCATCCACTGCTGAGAACCCATCAACCTCTTCCACTCGATGAACATTTACTGAGTGTCTACTGTATACTTTGGGCCAGACACTGGGGATGCAGCAGAGAACAGAGAAGAAACCTCCTGTCCTCGAGACAGTCTTTGCCCTTGTCATGACATCCACACGTGGGCCCTGCCCACCCCACCTGCGGCCATCAGGCCTCACCTCCCCTGCACACAACCCCAACTTCCCTGCCATCTCCACACCCCTGCTCTGCAGTGACCTTTTTCTAGTTGCCTTTGCTCCCCAAGCTATCCCCCTTCCCACTTCTAAGAATGGTGTCAGGAGGGCTGGGGCCAGAGGGGCTGTGGGATGAGGGCAGGCACAGCTGGTCAGGGGAAGACAAGATTAAGAGAAACTTGAAGGGGTGGATGGGTGGGCGGCCGTTCTGCTCTCTGGGAAGTGCTTTCAGACTCAACCTGCATGGGCCTAAAGGTCCTTCTATCTGGTCATTCACACCTACAACCCAACAGCACTTTTGGACTGGGATCCAAGAAGCCTTCCTCTGCAGGGCCCATTCACTCAGCAAATACTTCCGGAACAAGGGCCTTCTACAGACAGAGCTTGGTCCAGTAACTAAGTGACCAGGGTAGGGGAACTGGGGTGCCCATGCACCACACGGCTGGGTTAGGGGGACACAGGCAGCTTCTGCAGACTGGGTCTTGAAAAATGCCAAAAGGAAACTACCACTCCTGGTTAAGCCAGCTACTAGAGAAGCCACCTTGGGTTGGAGGAGCATAGCACCAGGGCCCAGAACTTGGGCTACCAGACCTCCTTGGGAGCAGCAGGAGCCCAGCAAGGACGCAGGGAAAGGGCGCCTCGGATACTGAGACCTCCAAGGGCCGAAAACGTGATGCACAAGAGAGAACCTAGTATGGCATTCAAGTCTCCTGGCATGGCTGGAGCTCAGCAAGGGCTGAGCAGGAGACCACACCTAGGCCACCAAGGGGCAATGTTCTCCATCCATGATGGAAACCACAGCTCCTATGGCCCAACTCCCACCAGGCCCTGCCGTTGACAGTAGCCCTGGGAACCCCAAGGACCCAGAAAGGGCTCGTTTTATCCTGCAGCCTGCACCAGTCCAACTGGACAGCCAGCTGTACAGCCCACCTCCCCACTGGCTCATCTGGCTGACCCCCCTCTCCCTCAATGTCCCCACAGGCTGGCAAGAAGGACCTGCTCAGGGGTCCAGTGCAGGACAGACTCTTCCACTGGTCTTGGGGCCTGTTTGACCACCAGGTGTCCGGATAAATGGTGCTGTTCTGATTCCAAAGCTCTGAGTTCAGAAACACACCTGGACCCTCCTGGGTTGGCCAGGCAAAGCCAGGGGTGAAAACTGGTGAAGTTTGTGTTAATGCCCCACTCACACTACCCTGGGGCTCAGTGGCTGGTGAGGGGCTCCTGGCTTGATGAAGGGGTCCGCGTGTCTGGGCTTTGGCCTAGACTCTCCCTCACCAGCCGTTTGCATCCACAATTGTACAGTTCCTCAGTGCTGACTTCTGAGGGCCTGGGAGATTACAACTCCCTGTCTATGTGGGAGGTCACTGTTGATTCCACGGTACACCCTTGCCCTTCAGATAAGTGACGTTGATTTATGCAGGTGGTAGCCACGTGAGGTCTCTCCTTCCCCAGAATGTAATGTGGATATTTACCAACAAGGCAGCCACACTCCCAGCTACACTCCTAATTTGTGCTGAGGCCCTAACCTTACATCATGCCCTCCAAAGGGGGCTGCTGAGCCACTGTGCTCTGTCTGAGGATCCCTTCACAGCAGCAGAGGGGCACACCGGGACCAACCATCTGAACAGCAAGAGGTGAGGGCTTGGGGCAGTTGCTAAATGACAGCACATTTTATGTCCTCCTTATTCAGCTGGCTGATGTCCTCTCAGCATTCCCGGCCCTCTTCCTCAGAACAGGTGCATGACAGGGTGGTGGTGATGGCCACAGGTGTCCATGCTTGAGAAACTATTACACCCTGTCCAGCTCTGATGAGGGCACTTTCTGCAGCTAATTGTCCACTCAGCCACTTAGGTCTTATTGTTTAACCACCTTGAAATTTGTGTTTTGTAAATGTATGCCCATCAAACACTGCAGTTTCTTAAAGAGCAGTCCAGATAAAAGAGACCAGCAAAGACGGCACCTGGATCCCAAGCCACCCCCACCCCTTATCCTCTGCACCCCGTTGCCCTGGAGGTGCAAGACGCAGAATGGCAGCAGCCTGGGCTTCAAGTGGCTGCCTGCAGGCCTATCCTGGTTCCCTGGTCACCCAAGCTGCCGAGCAGGACCCTGCTGCTTGAGCACACAGGAAGGCCACCGTGATGTGTGTGCCACTCTGGCCCATTTTGCATTGCTTTCTCATGCTCTGAATTTAGACAGTGACTGACGTGTGTTGTTCCCCCAACCCTTACTTCTGTGTGGCAGCCCCTGCCTGGTTTGAGGGCATTTTACCAATCGTAGGTTCTCTGGGCTGCTCTTACCCCATCTCCCAAAACATCTAGAAACTCATGGCCATATCTCAGATGAAAAGGTGAACATATAAATTTCCAGGGAAAGTTTTGAAGCTTTGCCTCGATAGGCTCTGAAACCACAGCTTGGAGCCATTGTGATGACTGCTGTCCCCTTGTGGCCACATCCACACCCTGCAGGCCACTTACTGCACCTCCAGTGGGTAAGAGCCCCATTGGGGCTGGGATGCATCCTCAATGTGGAGGACAACTCCAGAGATGAGGGTGGAGGTGAGGGACACTGGTAGGCCTCAGGGAGAGGCAGAGAGGGTACAAGGCAGATCAGCCAGGAGCAGAAAGCCACTGGACCAACAGATGCTCAAGCCTCTCACCACCGGGGAAGGAGCCCCATGCCCACACACCCTGGAGGACATCCACACATCATAGAGGTGTGGGCTGAATGGCAGAAAGGGGGGTGTTCTTTGTCCCAGTGTCAGTGCCTCCCAGGGCCCATCCTGCTGCTTGGGGAGCATCCCCAGAGAGCAAGTGTACTCACCAGAGAAATCCTTCTTCCCAGGCAGCACAGGCATGGATCTTTTTGGAAACTGCTTTGGGAGGTAAGCAGAGTACCCAGCAGCAGCAAACAGGAGACCCTCCCTCTGCCCCTGCCCCACTCTGGGGGACTTAGGGTAGGGTCAACAGCCAGTACCCCCAGCCACTCTCCAGGAATGAGACAGTGCATTGGTCAACATCCAGGTGTAGTGTAGCTTGGTTTTATTTATGTCCACAAATATTTCAAAAAAATTACAAAATACTCAAATGGAGAGAACACAGAAGTCACGATTTTGGGTGTCTACTCTGTTTACACTGTGTCATCTCATGGCAAACTACTCATATATACATTTAGCTTCAAGATATATATAAACATAGCAAATCAGAATGTGCACCTGCTCTGCTTCTGCTGCAGTGACACGTGAAGCTCAACCCTGACGACACTGAACAAGATACATACAAGACACAGAAAAGCAAAACCAAACTTCAAACAAAAGGAAGGAAAATCCCAAAGGAAACCAAGTGGTTGGGCTTCAGAGACACCACAAAGGTCTGGAGCCTCCTAAACAAACTGTAGTTGATCAGGTACAGGTTTCAGGTTGTGGGTTTTTTTAACAAAAGAATCTCAGTGCTTTACCTCGGGATATGGGGAGAAACCCAAAACATAACAAGAAAACACCTTCAAGACAGTTTTCAAGTACAGACTTCAAAGTACTTCACTTTCTCTTCTTTGGAAAAATGGATGATAGAGGAGATAAAGTTTAACTGAATGGTAGATATTGCGTTCTACCAAAAAGAAGGAAAAAAACAAAAACAAAAACAGGGTGGTGGCATGGGTGCAGGAGTCTGCTCATCCAGAGCCCAGCAAGAAGAGGCCTCAGAGCCACAGAGAAGGGAACCTCGCAGAACAGACCAGCCTAGATGGCACATCACCACCCACAGAAGGAAACTAATGCCTCCATGCCAACACAGCCAGAAGTTTGATGACAAAGGGCTACTTTGAGCTTGCCACCTCTGGGGAACTAAAGTTAAGGCAGAAATGGAATGAGAAAAAATGAAATAAAAAAACTACAAACATTTTCAACAGACCAAACAATCCTATCTGTCCCAACTGACATGAAACTTGGTTTTAATAGAAACTGGAAATGCCCCAATGCAGGTTTGAATCTGGAACCAGCATTTGATACCTGCTGGTTTCTGGGTGAAACTATTAGCCTCTCTTCCCACCCCTGTGCAGCCTGGGTCCTGGATGTACTTTGTGTCTCTTGACCCACAGTGTGGTCTCTCGTCCGACAATTCTTGGATGTGACATACAATGGCAGAAACAGCCCTTGAGAGCCTGAGAGAAGAGGATTGAAAGAGGTCATGTCTTGGCAGAGGCCTCCTCGATTAGATGCAGACATCCCCAGAATTTCCCCTCCCTCTGCTTCAGAGAAAGTACATTACATCAGCAACCTAGAAAGTAATGGCAGGCTCTCTCTAGCACAGCTCGGCTCTGAAGGCCTGACCTAAAAAGTGGCACCTCCCAGGTGGAAGCCTGCTTTCCGACTTCACCTTCCTACTGCCAGGATGAAGAGTGGGACTCAAACGCTTTCCCAGTCTGGTGCGGGTCGCCATGCACAGACCTGCTCTGAGGTGAAAAGCAGGGTGCCACCCACAGCAGTGTTAACTCCAGGGTCTCCCTCACTCAAAGGCAGCCTCAGTCTGCGACAAGGACGATGTGGCTTGGTCCTCACCACGAAGATCCAAATGATGATGCCCATGAAAAGGCAGATTTCTAAAAGATTCCTTTGGCAAGCATATGTCCTGGGTCTTTCATGTGCTGAGTTACTTGTATGGAATCACTTTCTTGAATTTTCTAAAACATTTATGAAATTTTTAGGATACTGAAAAAGGCAATTCATCCAAAACAATCAAATATGTGTGCACAGAAACCTACAAGGAAATCTACAATCAGACACACATAAACATGTGCTTTCTATACCTCAGAGACAGAACGATGGGGACATCGGGGAACAGAAAGTGAACATTTAACTCCTGCACTCTTTGTGGGAAATGAAAGAAGTTCAATCTAACAGACGTCTGCACCGCTGGCCAGATGCATGCGAGGAGCAGACAAAAGTGAAAATCAAAGCAGCAAAACAGTTTGTAACATTGTCCCTACAAACCCCTGGATGCTCACTACCGTGACCAAACCTAGTCCCAAGCTTTTGCCTGTTTGCAATTAGTCACGCCCATCTGCTCCCTTTAATTAAAGGGATAATTATATATAACTTTTTATTAAAAAATCAACTCTGTATTCTGTCAATAGCTGGTAGGAATTCACAATTAGTGACATGGCTGGAAAAAATAGATCAGAATAATAGTTTGTGGAAGGAAAAAAAGGCTGTTCTAAAATTTATTTACAGACGTAAAAAGCCATGCTGCAGAACTTTCTCAAATTATGAAGATTTCCTACAATGTATTAAAATAAAAGATTTTTTAAAAATTATAGCTCTTGGATTCCAAACTCATATCATATGCCACCTATCTGCAAACCTTGTGGGTTTTGGAACACACATAACTGAGTGTGTCTGCACGCACAGTGAAGGGTACGAACTGGATCCTAGCACCTACTGAGAAATCAAGGAGAAGAGAACTAAAGCCAACCCCAAGACTGCAGGGGAGTTTTCCAAATGTTCAGCCCAATCCAGGACTCACTAAGTTTCTGGGGGACTGTCATGCAGGGAGACCCAAACCAGTCTCAGGTAATCCTCTTGACAAACGAACACTATTTATGCAGATACATTTTTAGTTCTGGGGTTTTTAAATATATAAAGAAATCTTTAGAAGATAATCTTTTTGCTTTTGCAGCTCCTATTGTATGTAAAAAGTCCTGTTTCTCTCCCCAAGAATTGGGGTTTCCACAGCCAGCGTTAACAAATAAATAACTTATAACTGCTTGTCACCTTCTTTCTTCAGTCGACTGGAGAGAAAAGAAAGGAAAGAATATTTGACATTAGGCCTGGGCAGGAGGATCAGGTAGGCTTTGAGCACCCTGAGGGTGACAAGCAGGCAGCTCAGGGGTCCAGATGCGGGCTGGCAAGGACCCCATCTAGGCAAACCCCAACCCTGACCCAGCAGCCTCCCATATACCTGACCTAGCCCTCACCTCCCTTCCTCTGTTCCTCCTATCAATAGATGCAGACATCCCCAGAATTTCCCCTCCCTCTGCCATTACTAATGGCAGGCTTTCTCCAGGACAGCTTGGTTTGAAGGCCTGACCTCCTAAAAAGTAGCAACTTCCAGGGGGAAGCCTACTTTCCGACTTCACGGTCCTACTGCCAGAATGAAGAGTGGGACTCAAATGGTTTCCCAGCCTGGCATGGGTTGCTATGCACAGAACTGCTCTGGGGTGGCTCCATGGGGGTGCCCTCTAGAGCTCAGGGGAGCAGCCTGGCACTGGCTGTTACAGGGTACATGTGGCAGACAGGCCCCCCTCCCTCCCTCCTCACCTGTAATAATCTTCCTGACTTGGTAGGTGGCCACCATGCATGTGGGGGTGTCCGTGCAGCCACTGCTGCTCCATGGCCAGTCTCTGCAGCTCAGCCGACTGGGCATGCATGGCCTGCAGCTGATGGGCTGCTGACATGGGGGGTGGGATGGCCCCAGGCAGGTCTCGGGGGTAGGGGGTGCCTGCCAAACACAAAACAGCCTCTGCTACAGAAGCAGCCAGAGGAGTGACCTAGCAGGAGTGCTGCCACAGCACAAGGGCAACACAGGCCTAATGACTGGCAGGGAAGTCAGGAGAGAGCCCACTCAGTGCCAGGCACCGCTGGCTCTGGGAGTCAAGCCAGTCCTTCCCAGGCTGTGCAGAAAGCACTCCCCAAGGTGAGAGGTAAGAGGCTTCCCTGCAGAGGGAAGGCCCACAGTAGTGCCCACTGATCCTGCTGCCCGGACCCCTGCTGCTCATGCCCCCGGCCTCAGCCTAAGGGCTTCTTCAGGATGGCCTCCCCAAGCCCTCCATCCAAATGAGGTGCCTCTGCAACTCTCGCCACCCAGCAAGCCTTCTACTAGGCACCCTCCTGTCCTCTGAGAGCAGGAGTTTGCCTGCCTTGTTCCCACATGGATGCCCTGCACACGGGCAGGGACCCACATCTGTTCAACATGTAAATGGACGAACCAACAGGACAGCAGACAGACCTGTCCCCAACTCTCACACAGGACTCCCGCCCTCCCCCAGGTGAATTCTTACCAAAAACTGGATGACGAAGCATCTCATGCTCATGGGGGGGCTGTCCAAGTAGAGGATTGGGGAGGGTGCCAGGCGGGTAGGGGAAGCGAGCCAGGTGAGGGCCAGCGGTCAGGGGGTCAACCAGCGGGTGGACGGGGCCTGCTGAACCTGAAAAAGGACCAACGGCCAGATGCAGGTGGCTCACAGCTCTGGTGCTCTTTCACGTTCACTTTCCTTGGCTACAATTACCTGTGACTTTCTCCTCCTCCACATAGGCTCCTAGTCACCAAAAACTCCTGCCCTGAAGTGGCCGCCCCACCACCTTCAGTGAGAGGCCGGAGAGTGGGAAGGAGGAGCCACCATCTTCACACCCACTTCCTCCTCCCACTCAGTGCAGGGCTGCGGCTCGGGCTCAGCTCAGCACCGCTCTCTTCTCTGCTGGCACCAAATGTCACCATGGTCCAACCCCGCTGCACCATCGCTGGCGGGGCTTTCAGCACTGTTGTCTCCAGCGTCGCCTTGGGACTCTGCAGCTGTCCGTCCCCGAATGCCAGCTGCTCGCCCTTTCCCTCCTTCAAGTCCTCACTCAGAGCCCCCCTGCAGCCAGCCTTTCCTGACAGCCCTCTCTAGAACACCAGCCTGCTTCCCTGCTCTCAGCCGTTCTCCTGATCCCCTTCTCTGGATTTATCTTCCTTCAGAACACTCACTCACCACTCTTCATGTCCTGGCACGATTTTACTGACTGTCTCCCCAAATGGGGAGGTGCAATGTGGATAGGGTTTTGCCTGCACCTAAACCTGTGCCATGCACATCCCAGGTGCTCGGTGTACATATGCTGAACGGATAAGCAACGTGTGAATGAACAGATGGCTGCCTGTCCTCACACACAGTTACACTGAGGCTAATAAGGCCCGCACCAGGTGTCATCAAAGCTTCAGGAGGCAGGACCACGGCGGTGAACACTCTCCTGTGAATCAGGGCTGGTACGTGGGTAGGAACTGCCCTCCCTGCCTCTGGGCCTTGCTCTGTCTGCCGTTCCTCTGCCCGGCGCTAGAGGTTTGCCCACAGGGAAGGGCGGCGTGCAGGCTGTGCCACAGGCCTTCCACGCAGGCCCTTGTCCCCTGGTGTAGGCACACTTGCCTGCTCTTAAGCACAGCCAGACTCCCTCCTAGCCCATCTTGCCGGGCTGCAGAGGGAGCCGGCTGTGCCTGCCTCTGCCCCAGACCAGTCTTCCCCCTAAGCTGACCACACAGTGGACCTTCAGAAGCTCCTGTTCCCAGAGTGGACAGGACTGGGCAGCCCTGGCCAAGCAAGTCAGCCCACAGCACTCGGTCAAAGCGAGAAGCCCTAACCCCGTTCCTCAAAAGAACAGAGGACTGCTCCATTAAGTTCTCGCTAAACAACAACCTGTAGCTTCCTTGGGTAGCCTGATGCCTCCATCTGTACCTTCCCTGGCTCCGAAGGCCACAAGGCCCAGCTCAGGCCTCTTCCCTCCACCCCCAGCATGGGGCCAAGAACCTCAGCTTCACCAGGAGCTGTACACAGAGGGGCCCAGGCACTGCAGCTTTCTGGGCCTTGCAGCTCTGGATGGCTGAGGGCTGCACAGAGATGGGGCCATCTGTGACAGAGAAAGAAGTAATCCCCAACAGTCTAAGATCTGCCAGGAGTTAGGGATTCGTTCAGAAAGAACACTCTCTGCTCCTGGCCAGTAGCTGTCACCAGTCAGCCCCTATGGCCCCTCTGTGCCTTCTTCCCACTCCGCCCCAGCTGGGCCACCCACCTTGGTGGAGGGGGTCCTGCTGGTGCAGGTGGAGGTGGGAGTGGATGTGGGAGTGCTGGTGGTGGTGTGGGGTCACGTTGAACATCTGCAGCCGGGCCAGGGGGTCGCTGGTCAGTGATGCCATGCGCTCCGCATGGATGCGCTCTGCCGCCAATCTGTCAGGGTAGCTCATCTCGGGCCGCAGCTGGGGGCCCGCCAGGGCCAGTCTCTCCCTCTCCAAGGGGTTCAAGCCCGGGTGGAAGGAAGCGAAAGGGTGGGGGCCGGCAGTGGGAGGTATGGTAAGGGCACTGTGCCGGGCGAAGTGCTCCATAGGGTTGGTGGCTGGGTGCAGGGGGTCCAGCTCTGGGGGCTTCACCTCGAAGCCCGGCTTCATCCTCTCCCGCAGCTCGCGCTCCCGGATCTCCCGCTCCCGGATCTCCCGCTCGCGGAGCTCCCGCTCGCGGATGGTGGGGTCCACATTGTAGAGGCCAGGCATGTGGTAGGCCAGTAGGGGGTCGGCAGGATTGAGGGGCATATAGAAGGGATGATTGCGATTGGTGGGTGACATGACGTGGGGCCGAGCGTACTCGCTCAGAGTCCGAAGGGCAGGCGTGTCGGGCCCGATGTAGGGGGGCACTGCAGCGATGGTAGTTGGCGGAGGCTCGAAGGATGGCCGCATGTGGCCGGGACCGCCGAGCTGGGGGTCACTGAGGCGGCCTTCATGTGCCGAGCTGGATGCTTTCTGCTGAAGGAAAGGAGAGCATGAGGGGGTAGTTGAGCTGCCCAGGGGTCTGGGCCTGGTGCTCACTGCGGAGGTGGGCTGTGGCCTGCTCCAATCCTTTGCTGGGAGGTCAATCAGGTCCCCCCACCCCAACATGGAGACCCGGCCCTAGCCATGGCCAGGCACCAGGATGTGTTCCAGCCCCTGCTGTGATAGAGCTGTGTTTGTACCACAGCTCCATTTGTGTCCTAGATGGCTGTGTACCTGTGAAACACAGGTCACAAGGGAAGGTGCCTGTGAGAGTGTGCCGGGGTGGGAGTGTGTACAAGGGAGCCCAGTAGGCCAGGAGGCTCACCACGAGGCCCTCACACCATGTCACTGACTGGCTACTCTTTCTCCCACCTGCAGAAGCAGGTGCTGGGTGACCCAGCCCCTGAGAGGCCGGCAGGGCAGGGCTGCTGGAGGGGTCCCACCTGGCCTGGCTACTGCCCTGAGTGCCTGCTTCTCCTCCCAGGTCCTTCACTCACATTTCCCTCTGGCTCCTTCGATCATGTGGGGGAGACAAGCCCCCAGGCTACAGAGAAAGGACAGGCCCTTTCCTCAGAAGCCCTCATGCAGGTGGACACCAAGTCACTGCTGTGAACGAGCCAGGGCCTGCTGGCGCACTCAGGGATGTGCAGCGCTTGGTGGCAAAGCCTAGGGATAGGGTGTGGAACAGCGGCCGACCCTCCAGCTGCCGTGAGACCAAGCAGGCAGCGTCGGGCCACGCTGGGCGGCCCCGTGTGCTCCCGCACCCAGCACTCACAGCTGCCCGCTCGGCCTCCCGCTCGCGCTCGCGCTCACGCTCCTTCTCCTTTTCCTTCTCGCGCTCACGCTCCTCCCGGGCTTTCTGCTCGGCCTCTCGCTTGGCCTTCTCAATGGCCTCCTCTCTCTTCTTGGCCAGTTTGGACCCGGCCAGAGGCATGAAGTACAGGTCTGCCCGCGCACATGAGTTGTAACCCCGGTCCAGGTGTTTGTAGAACCTAAGAGGCACATCTCTCGCTGGGGGCTACTGCCCAAGCTGCGCCTGCGCTGCCTCCCGCCGAAGCCCACCTGCCCAGCTCGCCTTTGCCCCACCCGGACCCAAATCTGCAGGAACCGATACCTGGCTGACTGGCTGGCATGGCTGGGAGTGTCCACCACAGTGGGTTCAGGGGACGGGCTCCTTGGTGGTGGTGGGGGACTCTCAGGCTCCTCAGCATCGTCCAGAGCCTCCTCCTTGATCTGGACGGTGGGGAGTGGGCAGGATGGCCCCCCTGGCATGCTGCCTCCCGAGGAAACCGCAGTAGAGCAGGGTGGCTGGGCTGAGGTGCTGGGTCCCGCAGGTGGGGTGGAGGTCGAGGGACAGGTCGGAGGAGTGATGGGAGGAGGGCCCCCAGGGACAAAGGGGTGCTGAGCAAACGGGGGCTGGGGGGGCACCTGGTGGAGGCCTGCAGTGGGGTGGGAGGCAGCAGGAGGGGGCAGGCTCTGGGTCAGCCCGGGGGGCTGGGCGGGGGAGGAAGGCAATGGCTGGCTCTGAGGCATGAGCTGCAGGGGCGGGGGGTGGGCTGAAGGGGGGTGGTGTGTGGACAGGGAGCTCAGAGGCTTCAGGGCTGGAGGGGGTGGCAGGTTGGCATTCATGGAGAAGGGTGAGGGCCCCGAGAGGTGAGGCGGGTGCTTGTGGGCCTGTGGTGTTGGCAGCTGGGGGGTGGGT